GATCGCTAAGCGGTTCAGAGCCTCTTGGACTGCCTGTGTATTGTCACCCAACAAGGCGATATCATCGGCATATTCCAAGTCAAGAATGTACAGCGAGGAAAACCTATGACTGCGGGATAAAAGCCAAATAAATTTTCAATCTACAGCTTAGGGTATGTTAGTGTTAGGTAAAAGATTGCTAAGGTCCTTAGAGCAGTTTCAGGCAAAAAATTAAAAAAGGACTTATTAGCGGTATATTCCGAAAGGAAAGAAATCTTTCGATTCTCAATTTGCGTGGTTAGTGAATTACAAATCAAACTGTTGGTGTTACTTGAGCATTATTATGGTAATGGTATGGATGGACAAAATAAATATCATAACTATAAGCCTCTCTATAATTCTATAATTCTCTACCGAAATCGCTGTCTTATTAACATTATAACATTCCCAACAAACACAACACATGGCGCATCAATTTTTCGATAAAATCCTAACATCATTTGATCCTGATGCGTTATAAATAACTATGCACAGTTTAAAGGCTTTTGGGGGATAAGCTGTCTGTTTTCCAACTACTATCTGCCTCGATGAAGATCGCTCGCCGTGGAAACTTATCTGGTGACATGCGTAACACATACCCCAACCAACGTAATCTATGGAGGTCGACCATTTGCTTCAGTGAGATACCGAGAATACCAAAAACTCCGCGACTGACCTCAACATTGCTCGTCCGGATGCCCAATCAGATTCGTGAAATGCTGCTTAGACAGCGGTGTTCAAACACCGACAGTCTATCGTTATCTTATTACTTCCCCAGTTAGAGTGAGTCCCCGTGCAAAACGCATACCAAATTGAGCTACACTGGTATTCGAACTATCCAAAAAAGCTTGCCACTTACCTGCATCTTCACTCAGCAGCACAATGTCATCTGCATAATCTAGATCAGACAGCCTGCCACCTGGGAGTAAAGTGACGCAACTATCCTCGCACAAGGGTAGGGTTGTTTCCTTAATCAAATCAAAGTTAACTAGGAAAGGAGAGAGGGCAACCCTGATGAACACCACTTTCTGTGGAGGACTGTTGCGAAAAAGTGCCGTAAGATCGGACTCGGCATCGACTACTAGTGTAAAGGGATTGTAATATTGAAATTAACTTCTCGGGCACACCTTTCAGAAAAGGCAGAGCCAGGGTTTAGAGCGGTCGACTGAGTCGAAGGCCGCTTTCAG